AGAGAGAGAATTGAATTAGAGCAGCGTAGAGCACTTGGCACTCGTGCCTCTCTGGCCCCCAACCTGCTGGCTGATTCAATTTTCTGGGCAAATCTGACGACAGTGACCGCTAACATTCACCTTTAGACGGTGAGAGGGAGGGAGAGAGAGGGTGAGAGAGGGATATGTGGAGGAAAAGGGTGAGAGGGGGACACAGAGGAGGAGGAGGAAGAGGAGGAGGAGAGAGACCAGGTGACTGTTACTGTGCAGTTTTAGAGGCGGTTTTTGTGGTCGGTGACAAAGGTGAATGTCAGTACCTCTGTAGCAGTGAAGTGGACCTGGACCAGGACCATGGATCAGCTGTGGTGATAGGTGGGAGACGGGGGAGGGACGAGGGGGGAGGGACGGGGGAAAGATATTCACCCTTCATCTGTTATTTGTAGCTTGTAGTTGAAGAGTTATGGATGCTAACGCCAAAACCAGAAACACGGCACTACCACTGGATATGATGGGGGCAGTGTTGAGCAGTACAGACAGTACAGTTTGGTCTTTAACTGTGATGTCACAGGGACAGAGAACTGACAGAAGATTTGGGACGTCCGAAAACGGGGGAGGATAAGTGGAACACTACCCCCTAGTGGATGTACTGCATTAAGCTACGTAACCAATGGGAGTTATAACTACGTTACCTGAACTTGAACAGAAGAATGTCTTCCAGGTGAGGTCCTTGAAACCTGGAAAACACAGGACAGTAAAGATGAGAACGTCATCGGCGTATATTGACAAGTATTTAGATTGGATTAGATTAGATTAGGTTAAACTTTAGTGGTTTAGCGGAAGCAGAGAGCATGTAGTTCTGGGTTTAGTTCTCAGAGGAATCACATACTTGGCGCCACCTAGTGGCAGCCTGTTGCATCAGATCTGCTGTTAACACAATAATTTCCAAAATGTGGGATCAATAAAGTTCAGATTATTATTATTATCATGAACTTTGTTGATCCCACACTGTCGACCTTTGACTATTAGAGAGCTAACAGGTGACAAACAGTGTTCATTTAAAGACGGCCGCTGCATATGATCCACGTCAAACCAACTTCACCTGCTGTTTGCCGTGTAAAGTCCTTCACACCGGTGCTGTCTCAACACATGTTAATTGTCCAGAAGATCAGCAGGGGGCGTGAAGACAGCGAGGTCACTCTGTCCTCCGTCTCCCCCGCAGCAGGTTCCACCGGATCCTGAAACGTAACATATATGTCAACGTATATATTTAGAAATGTATTTTTTTTTAAATATATATTTAAAGATTTGTCAGTGGAACAGCTGAGGTTTGTTCTGGTCTGACCACGGTGTTAAAGATGGACGGAGGGGACGGACGTAGGGGGAGAGACAACAGACAGTGACGGAGGCGGTGTGATGGAGGCGGGGGGAGGAGGGGTGAGGGAGGGGGGAGGATACATAAATAGACAGAGTGAAGGACGGAGGGGCAGGTGGAGAGGAAGGTGCAGGAACACAGGGGGGTCACATATGCTCACTTCCATAGACATAAGCCCTGATTAAATTGAGTGTGTAGTCACTGGCTGCACTTCAGGTGTGTGTGTGTGTGTGTGTGAGAGAGAGAGAGAGAGAGAGAGAGAGAGAGAGAGGGAGAGGGAGAGAGAGAGAGAGATTGTCCTGTAATATTGTCTGCAGTCCCATGGGCTGGAGCTGAGCAAACTCAATCAACTCCCACTCACCTCTGTGCACCCCCTCTCCCTCACTCACCCCCCCCCCCCCCCCCCCCACACACACACTCTGTCAGACCCAGACTCGTCTCAGACACAGAAACAGGGTCTAGTTTTTAACATGTGCTTCAAAAGAACCCCCCCCGGTTCTGTCAAAAAAAAAAAAAATCCATCCACAGAAACAGAAACAGAACCTGGTTCTATTTCAGGTTCATTCTTATCTTGGCCAGTGGTTCTACAGCGCCCCCCAGTGATGGGTATTTAAAAAAACTCAATATAATCGGTATCGCAATATATCTGCGACCGCGTTGCGATACGTAATGAATCTCCAGATTCTTACCGATACACACTCCTATTCTACACAAAGAAAACAAAAAAACAGAGACATTGAAATGACCTTGCCGTTCCACGTCCCCCACCACAGCTCTGCTCGTCCTCGAAGGGGGTCGCCACCCACTGCTTTGGACCATGGGCCGTGGGTGTATGTGTGTGTGTGTGTGTGTGTGTGAAAGTTATTTTACGCTGTTTCATCAGATTAAACTTTTCTACTAAGAAAATGAGG